GGAGGTAGGCCGCGGAGGGCGGGGATGGGGGCTCGGGGGCCGCCGGCCTGAGGGGCTCCCGGGGGCCGAAGGTCTGCCCCGAGGAAGCTTTTCGCAGCTTCGGGGAGGGCTCCGGTTAGCAGCGCTTCCCGGCCCGGTAATTACCCCTTGGTCTCTGCCGTGGCCGTTCCTTTTCAGCTGCGTTTTTTTCTACGTGTAAGATGTTTATTTCCTCACTAGCGCAGTGCGTAAAAAGGAAACCCCCTCAGACGCTGGTATCCGGCCCGCTGGTCAGCATGCAAATTCAACCAGAAATAGTTTTTTGTCAGAATAACGTTGAAAGCAAAACGCGCAGAGGCAAATCCTCTTTCCCCGCTGCTGATGCCTCTTACTCTCCGACGACCCCTTGTCTGGCGGCGGTCTGTTGCGTTAATTTGTAAGACGTGTGAACCGTAAGAGTATTCGCGGACCTTTTCGGAGATGACGTTGTCTATTCTGTCACTCCTGCACGTAGCCTGTGCTAAAAGGCTGTTGAGCGGCTGTTAGCAGCCGGGAGCGTGCGGCCACCAGGATATTGTTTTGGGACCGTAGGTAGGCTGGAAAGTGCCTCTGGGGTGTAAGTTCGTACGCCTGTCCTAACAGGGTATTTCTCAAATCCAGAATTAAATAACCGCTATTAGCGGTTTCATTCCTTGTCACTGTCAGACTTCTGAGACGCGTGGCGGTCTGATTCTAGACCAGTCCCAGCTTCCTCACACAGCAAACAAATAACACTTGATTTTACTATGCTGCCTAAATAATTTTTCTCTGCTGCCTGTGTCTAACTCTTAAACACAAATGGCTGCTTTGTGAATGTTAAAGAAAAAAAAAAAGCCACATACTGAAAACTATACAGAGACATGATCATGACCTTGATGTAAAAATGGTATAAATGAGCTTATGCTATCTTTTTCATTCTTTTCTGTTTTAATTTTACTTCTTTAGTTTGAATGTGTGCGTGCAGAATTTTCAACTTGTTCTGATTTGCCAATTTGCTGCAAAATACTCTATCAGATAAATGTGTAAGGTGTAGCATTTTTTTAGTACTGAAGAAGCATGTAATCAACACATTCAAAAAGCCTAAGTGCCAACGTTTGTTGCTACCTAGTAGTATGCCTTTCAGCGCTAATGAAGTTCTTTACATCTATGAGATATTCTTACATACACTTGATAAAAATGTCCAGTTTTCTAGAGACAACTGTACCCAGTTAAGGGGAGGAGAGTGCTACATTAATAGCCAGACGTTTGTATTTTACCAGGTAACAGATTGGTTGGCACGTTCATTTGATGACTTCTTTGGAAACACAAATATTTCTTCTAGTGCGGTTCCTGTGAAGCCACTAGAAGGCAAGTCTGGAAGAAACCGGCAGCGGAAGAAGAAAGACCTGTCTTCTGTGCCAGAAAGTAGCAAAACCAAAGCTCTGCCCAGAAAACGAGCAAAGACGTCTTCAGTAGATCTGCCTTGTAACAAGTCCAGACAAAAGTGGAGCCAATCTCAAGATGAGCCATGGGTAGATAGATACAAACCTGAAACTCAGGTGTGAGAGTTAGATCTAAGTGCTAATATAGTGGTAACGTTATAGTGTAACATTATAGTGTAGCATGTTGTGCTTCTGTTCATAATCTGTATTGTTCTAAGTATATCCAGTTTTATTAGGGCAGTGAAGTACTAGTTTGGTTTATTTACTGTCTGTAGTTAAGATTGTAATGAGCTATTTATCTGCAGGAGATGCATTTTTTCCCCGCACTTCCTGAGGAGATAAAGCTACTGATGAGCTGTTGTTTCCTGTCCATCCGCTCCTAAACTTTTGAACCTGTTATTGAATTTCAGCCAGAGCTGACAGCTCCAAGTACTAGGAAAATCCACAGCTAAAGAAAGGAGAGAGAACTGAGTTAGTGCGCTCGTTACGGGAAGGATAACAGAAATTACCTTGCATGTTACTGGACAGCAAGTAGCTGGTCTGTTAGCATGTTCAGAGTACTTGACTAATTGCAGTTTGCGCTATTTTTTGCTTGCTTGATGCATCTTAGGCATGACTTTGTGGGTGGCGGGTACTGTGGTACCTTAGGGCTTCAAGGAGAAAGGACTCAAATCTGTAGTAAACCTGTCTTCTCTGGTTCTGCTCGTGGAACAGCTCTTTCACAGCGTGTTTCAAAGGTATCAGCATGTGTCTTAACTGCCTCCTAGCTTGTTGATGTAAGTAAGTTAGTGTAATACTTGTATTTTATATTTAATAGCTCAGCTCTGGAGAGGAATTGAGTTATGAGGCTAGAAGGCAAGTAAGCTGCGTGAGATTTGCAGAAGTTCCAACAATCTATGTAGTATTAGAGTCAGTAGAGCCTAGAAAGTACCAGCAACAGCTATAAAGCATACTGACACAAACAGGCAAGACTGTAATGTTGTTACTTTAGGAATAATAAATAATTCATTATTTCCCAACTGCAAGCAATGGAAAATTGGTTGTTTGAGGAAACAGGCTGAAATGATTATCCCTAACTGTTGCACTTACTTCTACATAGCATAAAGATATGTAACTGGAATATACACGTACATGTCTGTTAATGTTTTAGTCAGCATATATTCTGTTCTTGAATCTCATCATTACAGTCTTAGAAACCAAGAGGTGTATATATGCATTTCGTGTATTTTAATCCTGTTTTAGAATGACCTTGCTGTGCAAAAGAAGAAAATTGAAGAAGTTGAAACCTGGTTAAAAATGCACGTATTTCAGAGGCAGCCAAAGCAGGTAATCTTGCTAAAATTGCAGTAATCTTGCTAATCTTGTATCTCTAGCAGCTAGAGATACAAAACCATACAAACGAGCTGGATTCAATTTTATTTTAATTTCAGAGAAAAACCTTAACTTACATGTAGTGATTATATATCTATTGCATTATAAGAAATCTGTTAAGAATGTAGGTTAGAGCTTGTACATTTGTTTAGGGCTTATGCTCCTAAGAGGTGGATTCTGGTTTTGCTCGGAAATACTATTTTCTAGCATCCAGTCAGTTCATACCTCTTCAGTGTGTGTTTGTAACTGCATTTGATCTCCCACAGATTAATTTTAAGTATCTTTGCAGATTTTCAGTTGCATTGACTTGATGTAATAGGATGTTTTTAACCTCTTGATTGATAAGAGACATTCTTATGCATCATTTACCAGTCTTGCCTAGTGTTTTTCAGACCCGATTGTCCAGTTCAGTATGTATTATGTTGGTAGTCTACATGGTGTGCAGTTAACTGAACAGATACGTTAAAAACTGAGAGCAAGGCTTTCAGGGTTCTGGTCTAGCTTTTCCTATCTGAATACTCAACAGGTAAATTAATAACACAAACTATTTAACTCAGTTTTTATTGGGAAAAGAGAATCATTACCAGAGAAACTATGGAAGAAATTCAGCCAATATTCATCTTCAGCCAACTTTCAGTCTTTATGTATCATGTTTGGGTTTTTTTTTTTTTTTTTCTTCTTCCCCTCTCCCTCCCCCCCGGCATGATCTTGAAGCGTGACAGGGTGGCTCTGTTTTACTGCTAACTGGTCCTCCTGGTTGTGGAAAGACTGCAAAAATACAAATATTAGCAAAAGATCTTGGCATTCAGGTGCAAGAATGGACCAATCCAATATCTTTAGACTTCACAAAAGAAGACTTAAGAAATATGTTTGGCCATGGTAAGTATTTTGTTTTTTTCTTTTTTTTCTTCCTTCCAGTTACTCTTGTGATTTTTGTATGCTGTGGTTTTTTTCTTCTTTTGTGTCTCTGTCACATATGAAGTCAAATCCACATCTGTGTAAGTCAGATCCTTAGTGTTTAATAAGAATCTTTCTTTTGCTTTTATCTGAAAAGGGATTTAGTTTTTTTACAGTGTTTACCCCAAAATAATTTGCAATTGAAGTCAGTATAGAGAGCTATGTAATAGCCTGGATATAATTTGAACCAATT